ACTGTACACCCTCATGTTAAATCATAAAATGACATTTTATCTGCCACGTGTTTCTGCGTCAAGAGAAATATTTATGGTAAAAACTTACACGCAAGTGGATCAACCCCTATGGTGGCACACATCTCTTGGAACTGCACCCTGAACTGAGAGTTCTTACGGATTTCTTGTTTGTGCTTGCTGGCAAACTCTTCCAAATGGGTCTTAAAGGTCTCCAGTTGTTTTGACATCTACAAGGACAACACACACGGCCTGATTAGAATGGGGTCAATGCAGTTTTACAGCTGTGAGGGTTTGCTTGCATCCAAAATGCATTGCTCATCAGGGTATACGCACCTGCGCAATCTGATCCTCAGCAAGGACAGTACCTCTCTCTTTATACTTTGCCTGTGACAGTAAACAAATTAGCTGGATGAACATGGAAAAAGATTTGCCTAGTTAATAAATCTCGCAGAAGTGATATCATCATACCTCTGCAAGTTTCTTTTTGGCGATCGCTCCAGCTCCGACTCCTCTTCTGTGCATGATGCCTAAATAAAAACGTCTAAAATACTATAATACTACAAAATGAAACTGTATTATTTCCCTGTTTCCTGTAAGTTAGTAATTGACTTCCTAGTCAGCTGAATAGCTCACGAGTTACATAGTCACACATCGAAGCAGAATATGACTAAATTAGATCTGTAAAAATAAAACAAACGAATATGGTTGTTTCCCTTCATGTATGCTCTTTATCTAGAAAGTTGCAAACAGTCCAGGAAAAATACATCAACAGAAGTGAATTCTTCTTCTTCTTCTCTCGAGTTTTTTTGGCGGATTGGCAAACCAACGTTAAAGGTGCATGTCCGCCACCTACTGATCTGGAGTGTGAAGAAGTGAATTATTTCTTCTGTACACGCCTAAGGTCTCGACAGTAATGTCTGGGTGAATGTGTCCGATAACGCCACCCTTCGGACTGGAGAATAACTGACAAAATATTATATGGTCACGTTATTTATAAAGATCTTAATCTTCCTTATCCACTGATCATTATGTATCTCTCAGAGTTTGATTTCTGCAGTGTAGCGCACAAAGCACATTATCACAAGCAATCGTTGCTGTTAAAACGTAGCACGTTATGCGAAATATAATCCAAAAGTAATGCATCCTAATGATATTTTTATTAACAGCTTACTGTAAATTCATATTATTCATTTCATTGTTTTGAACAAAACTCCATTTAAATACACAAATCTACATAAAACTTGCTCTTAATGTAATGTTTTATCTAATTGAGCAACTTCAGGATTTAACAAAATAACATTTTTCAGACAGGTGTTGCCAGATTTACTTGCTTCATTCTCTGTCCCAGCACAATTGTCTTGACCGTGTGTATTGTTGGATGAAATGATGAATACTGATGGTCTACTGTCAAAAAAAGATTTGATCATGTCTGTGTTGGTGACTCTACTGCCATTAAAAGCTGTCAGTATCTGCTCACAAGCTCAAAATTAGATTTTGGTTCAGTGACTCGAGAATCAAACTAATCGGTCAGAGAAGTTTTATAAACAGAAGCAAACGATTCATTTAAAAGAGCAGAGATGGAAAGACAGTACAGAGAAGATACAGAGGTGGAGGAAAAGAGAGGCTCTGAGGACTCTTTTGTTGAGCTGGAAATCCTTGCAGATTTCTTCACTGCGGCGGAGCCACTGATGATTCACGTGGAGGAGCCTGAATATCAAACTCCACTTGCTGGAGTGAAAATATTTACACGTTCCTCAACCACAGAAAAGCCATTATTGAGTCAGGTGGCTGCTCAACACCCTTTACCTGATGAGTTGGAAACGTGGCCATCTTTCTCTGCTGTGGCAGAACCAATGATGGTTCAGTTCGAGGAACCTGAACACCAAACTCCACCTGATGAGGTGAAAAAATTGCCAGGTTCCTCCCCCACAGTAGAAAGCACCTCAACATCTCACTCTACCTGCTGAGGATGAAATACTGCCATCTCTCTCCACTGTGGACAAACCAGTGACAATTCAGGGGGCACCTCTGAAGGTGGAGCAAGAGTGTCGAAGGAGTAGAAGGACAAAGAAGGAGAAAAAGACAGGCCCTTCCACTATAAAATGCCCAGATGCAACTCCACCACCAGCAAAGGCAAAACTTGCTTGGATGGACATCAGCACTGCACACAATACCAAGGCTGAGGAAGAGACGATAAAGAAGGAAAGAGAGATTGAAGATGAAACTCCTGAAAAGCATGAGAGTGAGAGTGAAATGCTCATGGAGGTGGATCTGAGACAAGAAAAGAAGGAGAGGAAGATTGAATATGCAACTCCACCACCTGCAAAAACAACACTTGCTTGGATGGAGACGAACAGCGCAAAAGTCACACATC